CATTCTATCTAGTAATTATATACAGTTTACAAATCCATATTTTATTAAAATAGGAACTAAAAGCTCATTTTGCAAACTGGGATCATGTTTTCTTAATAGAAAAATAGTTTCCAAACTGATATCACTTTTCAAAATTAATAGAATATGCCATTTCCAAACTGAGATCAGCTTTATTTCTTTAATTATAAAAAGTGATCTCAATTAAGAATGAGCCAAAATAATGATTGTCTGTATGATTATTGTTGTCTGTTTGGCAGTTGTTACGTGAAATAGTTCTGGCTTTGCAAGTTGATGCATATTTATTTCTTCATCCGAGTATAGAAATATGAATATTTCTTAGATAATCCTCAGTTCTTATCAAATGCGTTTGGTGGCAATGGTGCCGCGACGAAGAGCCTCAGCTAAAGAAAGAACCTGAGATGTATGCAGTGAACGAAATGCTAATGGTATACATTTCAGAAATATACCCTTTTTTTATTTAGTTGGTCCTTCAACTATTAATGGAACCGCTATTAATCCATCAATGACAGGTGCTCCCCTTCTTAGTCAATCAACTGAGACAAATGCCGTTTATACTATCACAACTGTTACATCATCTCATGTCACTAAAGGTGATCAACGAAAAGTTCAACAATAGCGGCAGAAAAGAACTTATCCAAATCACGACTGCCGTTGGCGCGGCTGCTGGTACGATCGCCAAGGATAGTTGATTCAAAACAAACGATAAAATGAAATACATATATGTAGAACGCAAAATAGGTAAAACACAACTTTTGCTTTTTCACAATATATGACGACTGAATGCACTTCAGTCGTCATATATTGTGCTGAAAGTATGCGCACTACTACTTTATTAGGGTAGGCATGCACCAGTCAAAAACTGGTGTTAAGGCTTCCATGAAAATTATTATAAGTCGGCTATAAAGAAGTACTCAGAACCACGGAATCTGTCATTTTATAGAGAAATGTCTGAACTACAATCCCATATAAATATAAAAAATTCAACGTTATCTGTGATACAAATATGAGCATTCTAAAATGCACTGAAGTTAGAAAAAAACCTGTTCGAACAGTCTTTTTTCTGTAGTTAGTGCATTTCAGAATGCTCACAATTTTGCTAGAAATTACTTCAAAGCTTTTTCTACAGTTGAGTTTGCAAGAGCAAACATTTTTCTACAAAATGTGAGGTTCCGCGACTCTGAGTAATTCTTTATAGGTGACTTATAATTATTTTCCTGGAAGCCCTAACACCAGTTTTTAACTGATGCATGCCTAGTTCTACATATATGTATCTCATTTTATGTTTTATTTTGAATTATAAAGGTGGTTTATCTCTTATTTTTTAGATATATTCTTTATATCTATGCCGGTATATAAAACGAAACTTAGCCAAACATGGATGGAAAAAACGGATCCTAAGGGCATTTCTGCGAGACAATGGCTGGAACAAGGTGTGTTTTTTTGTTTGTGAAATGGTGAATAAATTAGGTGAATATCTCAGCAGTGCCGTGTCTTATCACCTCCGAACATACTAATACGCATAAGACCTACAATATACTTTTAGATCGGAAAAAATCCTCTTTTTTTTCATTTTTCCGACTCTATTAGTGTCGGAAGGATTAAATTCTATGAAAAAAAATTTAGAACATCCTCTTCTGTCCTCTCTTTTTTAAAATGACCGTTCACAAGCCAGAAATGAACATTTTTACAGTACAGAAAGCAGCCTAGAATAAAGCTTTATTTCGGTGTCTGAAAAATTGAAACTGAAAGTGTTCCATGTTTTATGATTCATCTATCCTTTTATCTAGTGTTTTACAGTAAAAAGTATAATAGTTTTAATAGCTCACCTCACACATCAAGGTATAGGGTGTATATATCGTATGCTCAAGTGGAAAATGAACATGTTGTATTATTTAGAATTTTCCGTTGAGAAAGCGAACGAAATAGTTTAAAAGAATTAATTAAGATCAAACAGAGATGATTAGCATACCTAAGTTTTCAAAGGAATTTGATGGAATATCTAAAAAATGTTACTAGTTACATCTATTTAATGAAAACATCAAAAGTGTGTTTGTGAAGTCATTTATGATAGACTGTACAATCTATCAAATCAATATCGATATCAATTATATAACTGATATCGATATTCATTATCTGTAATACTGAGCGTAGTAGCGGCGCCAGGGGTGGGCTGAGCCCACCCGAAAGGAAGTTAAGCCCACCCTGAAAATTTTTCAATGTATTCGAAATGAGCTTAATGTTTTTTCTGCTGTTCCCAAAATGGGTCAGCTAAGCCCACCCCAGAGCAAAATCCTGGTGCCGCCACTAAGAGCGGATCGGTGTAATGATCATTGTCATTGTCTAATGGAACAATAACAAAAGATATACGTAAAAGAGTGATGAATAATCAACCTTTAGGGGGAAAACTTTCAGATAACTCTATCATTATGCGTTGGAGGAAAGGTATCAGACTGGTCAAGGAGATTGGTTTTGTGCGATACGAAAATTTTTTAGAGAGTAGGTTGTTGTAATTGAGTTGATTGCTGTCGTTGTTGCTCGTTTTTGGCTGTTAGCAAGTGGAAGATAAAACTATGAAGACAGTGATTTGGACAGGATAAATAACTGGTCAAAATTATGGATATTATATTACCGTTTAATATAATAAAAATATATCGCGATGTTATTCTGTTGTGATAAAAACCAAATTTTGTCTTGATAATGTAGTGTTGGAGTTTGTGGAGAAATCGTCCGTTTAGGCTTGACTCTAACTCCGTCACTAGACTGGTCACCTCATATCAATGCTTTATGTGCGAAACTGTGACCTATGACTGGTTGCATGAAATATCTAAGTAGACGTGTCACAGTGGGCATTCAGGCGGAAATTTGAGCAAAAATCGACAAGTGAGCTTTTTTGAATTCGAACAGTAGTAAATGTAGTCCTTGAAAAGCGCTATCGAATGGTATATAATGATCGACTAGTAATGAACTCCTTCGATGAGTAAGTTAACTTACGAACATTCCCAAAAAACACTGTCAGATATGACTGCGAAGATTCTTATCAGACGTCCAATATTACCCTATCCAAAGCACATATTCGGAATCAGCACAACCTATTGCATCTCCTGATAATAGAAGGTACTCCTTTTGCATCTTGTACGAAACGAAAAAAGGTCTAGTAGTCTAGATTACTACGGTCCGACATGAGACAACCTCAGTGCAGTGACAGCGCTAAAAAGCGCTAAGCCTGAACAGACCTTCTAATTACATGAAAATGTTCCTCAGCCTATCGTGTATTTATGATGATCTCGTCTTTTCTCGTCTTTTTTTCTAAGTTGAGTTATTGATTTTACAAAAACCCATAGGGTTTTCGAGATAATTCGCGTTTTTCTCCTCCATAAGAGCACTTTTTCCATAACATAAAGTCATATTCGGAATCACCGTGAAAAACTACGTCGAATGATGTATAGTTTGTTAGTTTTACAAATAAAACATTTTTTGACAAAAATTCAGGACAAGGGTCCCCCTAAGGACTTTTTGTCGAAAAACATTTTTTTTCGAATTCGACCTTTTTTACTTCTACTAATATCTGACACATAGTAAGACCATATTATGCTAAAATAATCATTTTCTAACTCAAATCACTCATCAATTCTAACTCAAATCACTCATCAATTCTAACTCAAATCACTCATGCCCACTGTACACTAGGAGGTAATCTATCTGGCAATTGAACATTGAAGTAGTATTTATATCGACCAGGATCAAGTTGAATTTCATTATTATCATGTGCTAATTGTATCAATATTATTTTTTTACAGGATATATACGAACAATGTGATATTCTATTTTTCGTTCAATTTGATCATTTTGAATATGAACGGTATCCACTGTTATGTAACCAATTTCTCCCGTTACTATAAGATATATCTCGTTTGACTTTTGTTTCATCTATTAAATCTACGAACGCTGTTCCACTACTATAATCGCCAGTAAAAAGTGTTATGAATTTGATTATGAATTGATAAATTTAATTGTTATTTGACTGCTTGATTTTAGATTAACAAAGCAAATTCAAATAAAATGACGATATTTGATAGAAATTTTCCCTAATGATTACCCCTGTTTCAACTAGTCGTGCATTGCCCGATTAAAGATGAAATGTATCTGGATTTTTCCCATTAGGTGGAATTTGCTTGGGTCTATCCTTGTCGGTTTTTATTTTTAAAGTACGTTCAATTTTCCTACGTAAACAAATAATTTTTATTTTTCAAACACATATGAAATGTCATTTTGAAACCAATTCATTATTATATGATAGAAAAGCAAGGACTTAAAAAAGAAAGCTCTCAATCGATATGAAAAGTGTACAGTTTAATGTCACTGAGATGTATGTTTTAGTTTAGTTTAAGCTTTTATTAGACTGATGTAAAGATGTATGTTTTTCTGATGTACAGATGTATGTTTTTCTTTTTAATAGGTCGTTTTATTTCTCTAAGAGAAAAGACATTTTTGATTTATGGATGGTCATTTTGTTCCATTTACCTATGCCCTATTCAAAGATTCTCTCGTCTTTTATATTTACATGCAACAAAAATCAATAGTATGCAAGGAGTTTAGAGAATACGTGCATTTCTAGACAACAAAGAGACTTTGATAGAGTAAAGTGATGTATTATCAGTAAAATCAGAAAAATTATCAGTTTTAAAGTTATATATCAAAGTTTTTAATCGTATTAGATAAGTAGGATAAACAACAACTGGATAGAGCTACACTTCACTTTCTATCCTATTTGTAGTGTCTAGGTTAAGTGTCAATCAAGTAGGAAAGGTATAATGAATATACAACTAATCAAGTAGATTGAGATTATAAACTTGGAGGCATGGATAGTGTGGAAGATGTAATGGATGAATTTGACAAAGATCGACTGTTTAATAACGATACAGCATGATACATTAACGCATACGCTCTTTCCTCGTAATTTGACGACATATTTTGATCCTCATCACTCAATCCAGACATCCATGTATTAGGATTACTAAAATAAGTAAATTCGATCTTTAAAAGCTAAAGTAACTATTTTCCAATATTACTTGTCAAATAGTTTGATTATTTTTTGTCTTTTTTTTGAAAAATAATTTTGTCTCACGAATATGTATAACGATACAGCTGATATACATGTTGTTATCGAACTAATTGAACAAAATAACAGATATTGAATAAATATCCCTTGTTTGCTGCATCGTTGTTTGTGAAATATATGAATTATATAATATTTTCGGTTATGTTGATTCACTTTCTTCTTTTTCGTTTGTTTAATAGCATTATGATGATTGACATCGTTATTTTCTGGAAAAACATACGAATATCATTTTCACAGTTTTTCAAACTGCTAGAGATCCTACACTAAGCCCTCGAAACTTTGATTTGCACAAAATATTTGAGGTTCGGTTTTTGAAAGTTGACAAATGAAATGTGTAGGAGATTGAACATTTACGTTTTCTATACTCAACTGTATTTGTTTCTCAATTCTGGATTGGAATTATTGTCGTCTTCTATGATTGGGATATTATCATCATCAGATGGAAATAAAATATCTGCTGATGAAGACTGTTGTTTTTCTCGTATATTATTTAAAATGTATTTACCATTCAGTTGCTCATTCGCTTTCAATTCATTTAGATGTTTATTTTTTTGTAATAACAATGAATATTTTTTTAAAACATCTTTTAAACGTTTTAAAATATATTTTTTATATGCTGGTATTATTGTCGTATGTTTTTCCAGATGAAATTGTTTTGATGTGCTGCCAACATAAGTATTTATTAAATGTAAATGAATCGCATGTTGTTTATGATCAGTATCATGACGAAAAAATCGTTGTAAGAAATTGATTTTTGGATGTATTAGATTCCCGATGATATAGTGAATTATTAAGAATTGAATAAGAAGAGCAAACATATCATCATATAATTATAATATTCGCGCGATGATCATAAACTTAGAAACATTTTATTCGAATAGTGTACGCTCAAATCAATTTAATATACTACATCGCTACATGAACAAATAAAAATTTTTTATTTTGAAAGTGAAAAATTGAACCTAAAAACTGTAGGAAAACATTATTTCATAAAGCACTAAAATGGGAAACAAAACGAAAATAATTAAAAATTTTTTGCGATTAAGTTTTCGGGTTAAAATAAAATAACAAGATTGCAAAACACCTTTGTCGAAAATAACTATTGTGAAAAGCCAACGGGTATTGCTCCCATTGGAATTGGCACTGCCTGCGACTGTGCTGGAAACGGTTGAACTCCTTGTTGAGCTTGTGAGTAATTTTGTTGCTATTAAAAGAAATAGACTAATATAGAATACTGAAGTCAACTAGTATGGAGAGAGCGGAAACATACTTGTTGAGAAACACTTGTCCGTGGCTGGTGTTGTAGTTGGTGTTGCCGTGGTGTTCTTGACCGTTCATGATCAGAGTCACTCGAAGATGAATCACTGGCAGCGGACGATGTTTTCCGTTCATTAACCGTTGTTGCTTGTGTTCCCGTTTGCTGGAATTGTTGAGTGGAAGGAAACTGCTGGAATTGTTGGGGTTGTTGTTGAGGTTGCTGGTATTGTTGCGGTTGTTGCTGATATTGTTGCGGTTGTTGTTGCCGTTGCTGGTATTGTTGCGGTTGTTGCTGATATTGTTGCGGTTGTTGTTGCTGTTGCTGGTATTGTTGCGGTAGTTGCTGATATTGTTGCGGTTGTTGTTGCTGATATTGTTGCGGTTGTTGTTGTTGCTGTGGTTGTTGTTGATATTGTTGCGGTTGTTGTTGCTGATATTGTTGCGGTTGTTGTTGTTGCTGTGGTTGTTGCTGATATTGTTGCGGTTGTTGTTGTTGCTGTGGTTGTTGCTGATATTGTTGCGATTGTTGTTGCTGATATTGTTGCGGTTGTTGTTGTTGCTGTGGTTGTTGCGGTTGGTTCTGTTGTGGAAAAAATTGGGGACGATTTATGGGCGTTGCTAAAGGTGGACGGTGTTGTAAAGTCACTGAATCTGCTCTAACTGGTTGATTTTGAGTTGATATTGGTCTTGGTTGACGATTCAATGCGTCTCGCTGCTGCAACATGTGCTGCGCGAGACCCGGTGGCAATCGATCGACGACAATTGGTTCAGGATATTTTTGAGAGAGATCCGGTGGCAAATGTGGTATCGGATAGCCGGGAACAGGTGATGGTGAGTAAGAAATATTAAACCGTTTACCACGTAAATCAGGCATTTGACTAGAATCAGAAATTTATGGCGTTAAAAAATATAAATACTTTTGCGATTCAGATTTGTCGATATCATTACCGCAAGTAATTTAAATTGGGTTTTATTACATTATTTAGTTCAACGTTGCAACAATATATTTCTCAATATCAAGAAAAAGTTTCGTAACAGAGATACTGGTATAAGAATAGAGTTCGACTTTATGTTTTTATTGATAATGGCAAATATATAGTTGAAACGTTGAACTAAATAATGTAATAAAACCCATATTAAATTAGTTGCTACGGTGATATTGACAAATCTGAAATATAAATATGTTTAATTCATATCGGTTCTTTTTAACTGGAGTTTATTGATCTTAAAATCATTCATATTTAAGAATAAGGATGGTTTTTGCTTAGTCATGCCTCGATTTAAGGGAAACTGAGATGCTATATGGTTAGAACATTAGTTTACGTACTTTAACATATTTAATATACTTTGCATACTAAGTTCAGGAACGTCTTGTGCTGGTACCGGTGAGAACATTTCTGATCCATGAGGTGCAGTATGGGGACGATTTTGCACAAATCCTTGATCAGGTTGCATTGGACGCATTGGCGCTACAGATCTCACGGAGACACGATTATTATTGATGAACTGATCGTTTATTGACATTTTTTTCAAATAGCCCAATTTTGGTTTTGTGCTATTATAGCTTGTTTGGTTGCTTGTTTTTTCTAGAGCGAGAAAAAGAAACACGTCATTATTACCAATTGTATATTGAAAAATATTTGGTGTCATATCAGTCAAAGATGATGTTATATTAAAAAACCAACAAATTTCATTCTATGTATTCCTATATAGTTAGTATAGCGTGCCTGGAATAGTTCTAAACATATTCGCTTGCATAAGATGAAAATTTATTGCGTGGTCTTGTCGTTGAGCTTTTATAGGTTGAAAATGTTGGTGTTGAACGGGCGAAAATCTATTAAATGGTCTTAGGTTCTGTTGGGGACGATCGTTATTTGATATCGGTTGAACGGAGGTATTAACAGATGACATATTTTGTGGGATTGAGGAAGAAATTTGTTGATGTTGTGAACGAGATTGATTTCGATGTTGAAATTGATTTTTTAACTGTGGATGTGGTGGTGGTTTATTATATTCTACAATAATTTTGCTTGGTGATACATAAGGCCTTAGTTGTTGTTGTTGTTGTTGTTTTCGTACGTTTGCTAGTTGATTTTCTACAGCGTGATGAATTTCTGCTTCAGAAGGCTTGTTTGATGTCGATGGATCATACTGTGCAATTACATAGATGGGTTCATCATTATCAAATTCATCTATGGTAATGTCGCTGACTCTTTCTTCATATGCTAAGGGCGCTATTGTTGGTGCTTGAACGCTAGCGAACATTTTTGCTTTTGGTGTTGAAGTTGGTCCGCTGATGAAAGGTAAAGGAGGAGTTGCATGTGGATTACGTTCTGCTTTGATACGATTGAGAAGGATGACGTTTGGTGCGAATAGCGGTCGTTGCTTTTGAGGAATTTGTATTGGTGGATGATGAGACGAAAATTGTTGTCCTTTTCGTGGGAGCCCATTTCTCATTTCAGAATGAAGTTCTAAATTATAAGAGTCTAATTAGGCGATTGATGATGTTTCTCTACCATTTTCAAGCAAAATCAGCATCACATGAACTTGTATCTCATAACTGCTTTGTATTAAAGTTTAAAAAAATTCTCTTACTTGTTGGGTGCGGCCTTCCATTTTGAACAAGTGCTCGTTCGGATCCTAATCGAGCTAAATAAAAAATTACAGGTACTGTTCTACATTATTCACCAATTTAAAATTAATTAGATTTGTCCTAACTATATCCCACCAACGGATTAGAGTAGAGTTTGATATAAACTTTATTTTAAGAAAAAAGAAATTAAAGTTACAATAGTCATCGTAACTATTAGAGAGGAGGACGGGATTCATTATAATCAGGATAGTTCGAGATTTACATCAACAGTTAAACAAAAAGCTAAAGATAGAAATGGAGCTGGAAAGCGTTGCAAAAATTAGAAGAGAAAAAAGAGTTGAGGTGCATTAGACTTAAGATCCTGTGTCAAAAAGTGATTTCTATACATCCGATCTGAACGAAACTTACAGAAAATATTGTTCATGTTGAGGATTAGTTATGATAAAGACTTAAAGGCTATATCTGTTACCGTTTAGGAGATGTCGCTAAAGTAGTGAACAAAATCGGACGTTTAAAAGACTACCAAATTTCTCCTCTCGAACAACAGTTAGAGAGCTCTGCTTGATCTCAAACTATTGGTATAGAAATGGTGTACAGAGTCGGTTTTTTCGAATTTTTCTTTATTTTCTTGAAAAAAACTGTTTTACCTAGAAAGTCGGAAAACTTCCCGAAATCTTTTGTAAAAATCCCAGATTGGAGGGTTTTTCTACAACAACGTTTTTTAACCTATAAAGCATGCCATATTCCACGGATTCCACAGAGTTTTTGGAAAATTTTGTGTATAACTACTAAAACACAATTTCAATCAAATAAAAATTAATGCATTTTAAAGAGGACAATTGGGACTATCTTAGCATGTACTTTTCTCAAAATCGAAATTCTTGACAAAAATCGTCAATTTTGACAGAAGAGGAGGGAGGGGTCTTCAAACACTGAAACTTTTTTTTAAAAAATTGAATGTGTGTCGACGGTATCATAATACTATAATTTTATAGCGTTCAGTAGACGCCATATATTAAATAACTGCACGATAAACTGCATGTTTTTCGAACGCAGCCAATAAAATAATGTGACATGCATTCTTTATCATCACAATCGCAGATATTATCTGCAATTAATAGCTTTTTAAATAGAACAGAATTTACTTTGCCAATGAACAGAAAGAGACAAAATTGAATAGGAGGGACTCATTCTGGTAAAAAATTCTCTCTATTAAATAATACTAGTGTCAAATAGGTAACTGATAACCCTTCTCAATATGCGGATGTGTTTTAGAAGCTTAAGCAGTGAATTCATGTCATCGACTTTCAGGATCGAACTGAAAGGGTATAGTCACAGTTCACAGAGACCTGCTACAAACTATGACTTCATACTGCATACCGGACTTAGTCTGAATCGTTTAAAATATCCTGCAATTCTAAATGTCAACCATGTATCGTTTCGCCATTCACGCGTAACTTTCAAGAAATATTTGTATTCATTTTAACTTACTTCTTTTATTATTCAAATTATTTTGTAGGACAGTGGGCGAAGGGCTTGGTGATATTGAATGGTTAATACGTTTTCGTACAAATTGTATCGGCGTTAATCGTATCGATTCGGTACTTTTCTGTTGTAATATACCATTTAACAATGGTGATCCTCGAACATCATTTATTTTTCCATTTAATCGCGTTATATTCAGGTTTCGTTGCAGTGATCGATGTCCATTCATTGACATACTAGTTAAGTTTGTAAAACTTGAAGTCGGTGGTGGTGTCAAATTGATTAACAATGGTGGCACCATTTTATTTACGCTTGCTGTTGAGATAAAAGCAGTGCGACGTGTAGTTGTTCTCAACTTATTATGAGTTTGTTGTGGTGATGAACGATAACTACCATGTCTTATTTTCACTTGATTTATGTCACTTGTCATAGTCTGACTATTATTATTGTTATTTTTATTAGAATAATTATTATGGTTCATGATAGAGACTTTTATAAATTTATTTTTTTGTTTTGTTACACACACATACAAATTTTTTCCCTCGTTTGTTTAATTACAGCAGCTCTTTCCAGTCTCACCATTCAGACAAAAAAAAAAGAAGAAAACGTTTAAAATGAATAAAAGAAAAGCCTAATATATTTTTTTTGTGTACGAGATATTATCATCAAACGTAGAGACAACTGTAGCAAAGAAATAGTAACATCCCAACACGATACATGTGTGAATCGACCACAAAAAACACAATGTATTTTACTCTTAGATTACCTTGAATAAAAGCACCATTACAATAACTATATACCTTTATATCATCACTATGTTTTTAGTATCTTCCTTCTTTTTTGATGCTTTTATTATCATCATGATTTTTAAGATAGAAAGAAAAATGGACCTAAAAAAACTTGTTAATGACTTGACAACGACAACTTGTAATGATCGATGTATAATGAAAATAATTATAAAAATAAATCTTCTGATATATATGTATATATGTATATATGTGATTTTTTCATATAATCAATCTTCTCTATAACTGTATAGTTTCATCAATAACATATTTTTGAAACAATCAAATCCAAAAGTTGAATTGTTACATCATTATAAGAGAAAATAATCATATTAAAAATATTGAGCGAGTTTTGAATATTTAAACTATTTATTAAAATTGTGCAAAATCGAATAGAATTAATTTTTATAAATCAAAATATTAAATTGTTAACAACCATATACACTATACTTGTTTGCATCAACATTATACCAATTTACCTATTAATCTTGATTATATTTTGTTATTAAGCAATTTTAAACGCTCGATGAATATTTTTATCGTGTAGAAAGAAATATTATATGACTTTGAACTATTTCTAAATACCGGATAATCAGTGCATTGATATTAACGTTCGGGTATTCAAGCGCGAAGACGATGGTAGGTTAAATAATAGGTTAGTCTACCTCATTATCACGCATTTCTTTTTCGGGTATTATTGTACTAGAAGATAAAAAACTGATTATAAATTATGATATTAACATTATTATTTGAGATATTTAATCTCTATCTATTCCATCATTGATTGTGTTAGCATCATTTGACATCAAATGACAAAACAAAAATGAATATTAATTTTACTTTTTTGAATGAATGTCATTCTAGTAAGGCTAAAGTTTTATTGAGTAGAAGAAAATCATTAAGATAAATGAAAAGATTAGTAAAGAAAAATATCTTACAAAAAGTAAATGTACCACCACAATGATATATTTAATATGTATATATTATGAAAATAATACAATAACACAGATGATTAATAATAGAAAACATGCTAATCAAATGGTTAAAATAAAAACATAGTATATTATTCTACTTTGAGCATTAATTCTCTTATAATATTATTCTGGTTTATATTACATAGTTAGTACACAATTAAAAAAATTACAGCAAAGAATAGATATTACCTAGTTTTCTTTTTTTTGAGTGACTAAAAAAGTAACAATTCTTTGATTTTTCATCAATTACTCGTCTATGAGTTCATAAATATTAGCTCGTATAGAGCTGTTAAACAAAAAATTTTCATGTTTAGCACAGACTAATTTATTAATCGTAAAGTTTTTCTAAGACTTTAGACGTTGAACGTCGATGTAATTCAACTGTTACACGCATACACTAAAAGTAACTGTCATTCAACTTTCTAATTAATCTTTGCTATTTCGACATTAAATACATCTTAATTTTACTGCTATTTAATTAAGTTTTTACACTATACCTGCTTTGTATAACTTGATGACAAGAATAATTCTGATGTTAAGTATACACAATGATAGAAAAATGCTTACCTTTCTTTTACTTTTTGCCCAACTCTCTTCTAATACATATTCGTTAACTAGGTATTATTATTTGACGACAAGATATAGACCGTTATTTTGGTTGCACAATTTTTCTATTTTTTTGTGGTTTACATAAAAAATTACACAAAAGAAAGAAGGCCTCGTCTAGAAACAATAGTCAAGAATACATAAACATGTACCCCCCGATAAATCTGTAGTTAAACGTATCATTTTGTGTGTGTATATATGTATGTCTCATTTATCAATGATCATTATCATTGTGTCAAACTACATTTCTTATCATTTTTTTATACATACCTCACTGTGTGATAGTCGTTATGATTTTCTTTTATTTTTTTTGTACAGTATTATATTATTCATCAAATACATGATTGAAGAAAAATATACAAATGCACTTTCTTCCGTGAAGTAGTGCATTTATCAACATTTTATGTCATATAATCATAAACCACAATATACTTTTGTGATTTCAAATAACTCCCTTAAAAGGGGATTGCTTCAGACAATTATTTTTTTGATAAAACCAATTGATTTCGAGGCTTCTATATATGACTTAAGAGGTTTAAGTGTCGTTCTCTCTTAAAATCTATATTGCTTTATTCCAATTAACAAATGGGCTGAGCCCATTTGAACACTCAGCCCATTAGGCTGATTGTTCTTTTCTTCTAGCTCTGAGCTAAATAAACGAAACAATCAGTTAGCTGAGAGCTAGATCGATTTCTATTTTTGTTTGGTATATTCTATGTTTGCTTGTTTTGAAGATTTTTACAAAAGCTTTCTGAAATCTTCAGAAAATAGAGTTATAAAATGTTATATTGTTATTCTATGCTTCACTGATTCTGTTTTTGAATATATGAGTTTGTAGAGTGTAAGTTCCTCATAAAAATACAACGTAGTGCAACGTTGTGTGGCTTACTTTAGAAAGTTATAAACCATTTTCTATAAACCTTAAGATGAATCAATACAACGAATATACATCGTTCTTTTTTAATAACCATTTTTTAGCGCTAGATTGTTGCTCAATGCGATTGAACTGCAACAGTTCTCCATGTCAATGTAAAGCTTAAATATTATATTATTCAAACTAATATTCCGAATACTTAAAATTACAAAAAAGTAGCTGCTGAAAGATATCGATCGGATACACTTTTCTGTTAGTTCTGAGATAATGGGCTTGAATAACATACAAATATTCACTACAAAGTTTCCAGAATTTGACTTTTCCCCCCCAAGGTGTAATATGAATTTTTCAGTGACGAATAAGTTCACGTGAGAGTAAAAATTAACCCAAATTAGGTTCACTAAGTTAGGTTCTGAAATGGTTTTTCTCCAGCCAAGCTATCACATTAGAATTCTATGTCTTAAATCTCGCTCAAATTCTGACGAGATTCTGAAAAATTCTGTTCGAGAATACGACCGCTATTTCGTTCGAGCATCTGCAAAATTTCGATCTTCAGCGTCATTTTGACGAAAAATTCACTTTTTTCAAAATCTCGGTGTGCGAATCTCGGCGAAATTTAGAAAAAACAACGACATGGAATCTGTTTTGATTGATGGATCAAACAGATCAGTTTAAAACACATTCTCTGCATGGAGAAACTACCCTTAGACGACATAACACTTTTGGCAGTATTTTCGAACATAGCACAGGCTTGAAAGATGTCACCACTTTATGTCGAATGATAATTGAATAAAATAGCGTGTCTGGTACACGAATCGCTGAATTTCTTATAACAACCCTTTCCAGTAGTACAACAAATAGAAGTCAAAACAACTAAACTGCAACTTGCATCTTTTTTTACAATAGTTGTGACTGGGCAGAAAAGGCAAGAACTCCTATTATCATTACATTATATGAAGTATATTTGTTTCTCTCTTGTTTGCGCGCCTCATCTATAATATAAGCCCTAGAAACTTAGAAAAATCTTGAATATTCTCTATAATACACTGAAGACAAATTAATAATGCCGAAAAAATCACCAGAAATAGAACCTAAATCGTCCGGAAGACAGTCACCAAAATCAACAGCAGCAGATGATCTAAAAAAAGGTAATTAACTATTTGTGTACATTATAGTAGTAATAGTATTTTATTCACGAAAGTGAGAATCAGCAAAGGCTCTCGATATATAATAATAATGACTCGAGCCAAACAACACCAGAAGAAACTATAAATAGAGAAATAAAATTAAAAAAAAGAAGTAAACTAGTGTACGAAACAGAGAGATAAGAAAAAAAGAATAATAAAAAAACAAAATAAAGAGTAGCAGCACTGGGTTTATATTTAACTGTAAATATGGTTATGGTCAACGGTAAAGATGCTGAGATAGAGCTTATTACATGACAATAAAGAAGAACGAATGACTGACTCCGGAAGATTATTCGAGTCAGTGACACTTGAATGAAAGAAGAAAGAAGAAACTGTTTGTGAAGAAAACCCATTTACAGGAGGCGGACTACGAACATATTTTGAGTGATGACAACATAAAGAAGACGTTGAACATGATTAAAAAACGGAAAGAGAACTGGACGATGATAAATCATGAAAAACTTGATCAGCCGAAAATATTAACGACGAAGTGACAGATGTGGAAGAGACAATTGAGACATAAGTGAAGAGGTAGGAGAACGGTAGTCAATATTGCGAGAGATAAGACGAAAAGCAAGTTTGTTTACAGAGTCAAGAACAATAAGAGAAAACAAACTATCATAAAAGGCAGAACAATAATCTAGTTTAGGAAGAATAGAAGAATTATTGTACTTGACGACAATGCGAGAGCAGAGCTTGGATCAATGCAATAATTACACCTTTTTTGGTTTGCAGGCGATCATGTTCAATGGAATTCTGTACAAGGCATTATTGATGGAACGGTTGTAAAGAAATTAACATCTCCCATGGAGATAAAAAGTCATCATGTGTCTGCGTCAACGGAGCATCCAGAATATTTAGTTAAAAGTGACAAAACAGGTGCTCAGGCTGCTCATAAACCTGAAGCATTAACAAAAATTGATACGGATGAATAAAAATTCTGATTATTTCTGTACTTTTAGAAATAGTACTGTTGTCAGATATATTTTTTGTGCAATAAAAGTCGCAATTTGCATTCGTTTTTATTGCTTTCCCATATAAAGACTTATTTGTTTCGTCGTACTTGTATCAGTCTTGCAATTAACATTACTATTTCTCTCTCTTTTTTAGATGTATTAATTAATCCGATATAAACAGTTTGTTGCCTTACTGAAGTCCAAATCGATCTATGTCGATAATTCTTGATCGGTATTATTATTTGACCAGATATAGTAAAAAGGTAATTTGACATGTAAACAAAAGTGAGTTATTCAAAAAATGATGAAAAGAAATTTCTTCTAGTATTCTGTTATAGTTCTAATTGTCTTATATTTGTTTTATTCTTTTCAAGCTTTCTGTATGGCATATATAATCATCATTGCCCAAAACACAACGAAAGCAGTTCGTAGATAATGATACACCATCAGCAAAATAGAATGAAACAATTCTGGGTGAACACATTGTTAAAGAAGCTTTAGAAGTATCTAAAAGAAGAATGAGCTCAACGACATCATTAATGAAACACTCAACAGTAGTATAATCAGTACATCATCACATAATGATCAACAGTTGTGTAATTCATCATTGAAAAATGAGAATAATGCTCAAGAAAATCCGCAGTATATTGCCATACTAGAACTGGATTTAAAGCATGGACAAAACATATCGATTCGTAAACTTCTCGATTATTATGCATGACTGGGAAAAAAGAACTTGACACGTAAGCAAAACTATCACAACAAGTTAATCGTAACTATCACAGACAAATCATAACGTAACGTCTTTATCAGTACATAGCGTGAGATAACTAAATCCACCTTCTTTTGTTCTAGGTTCAATTGTGGGTGCTATACCATCTGTGATGGGATGGACAGCTTCCACAGGAACGATTGACTCTGGTATGTAGATACTATATCTTTTTATTCATAAGGATCAAACTTATCAATTTAATCTTTTGTGGTCAGAAAGTTTCTATCACATACTTACGAAAGTTTCAAAAGTGTCTCTGTTATGCTTTTTCCATTACTTTTATCAAAGCAAAATTTAGATGAAATCATTCATTCTTTGGCTCAAAGTTTAGTCAGAGCCATTGCACATATTTTGTACTATACTGTGATAATAGTGACCAGTTACTTTAGTAACGACTTTGTACTGTAATATCAATTATTTTTATTTTATTTTAGGTACATTAGTGTTGGCTTATTTATTATATGCTTGGCAGTTCCCTCATTTTAATTCATTGAGCTGAAATATTTATACGAAAGTTAGTCGTACCGGCTACAAAATGATGCGTGTATCTCATGAACATTTATGTCGCGCAACATCATTGCGTTATTCCCCGTTGATTACATTATGTTATTCTTTGGTAACATCGTACATCGATATGGAAACGTGGCTATTTGTATTTCATACGTTACCAATTAATTTAGATTTTGTTTATTTTATCCCTATGAGTTCTATAAAAAAAAAACAAGATTGTCGATCATCAAGAAAGCTATTTCGCTATAGTCTAATACATTTGCCGTTGTTGTTAACGTTAATGGTTATTCATCGAAAAGTAAAACTGTCTCTCTCGTTACCGTTAACGTTGAAAGCTACTATGGCAGTTGAGGAAAGCCAATTATTACCGACTATTGTTAAAAATTCGATGAAAAATCACTTTCTCTTGTGATCTTTCTATTTTTATAAAAAAATGACATCCCTTTTCGAAATATCTGATAGTGTTTTTGTTTGTTTTATAGAACGTATATTTATACGAATGTAGAATGTAATAAAACAGATAATTTTTGTATGAGTTCACCATGATATAGAAAAGACAAATCAGATGAGGTATTTGATCAAGCATCTTTTAATGGCTTGTACAGAAGAACTCGTAGACTAAATTGAATTATAAAAGATCGATAGTATGTATGAGGTTTCGAAACTGTCTGAATACATTTCATAAACATCAAATCAAAAAGACAAAAGTCTCTTGTATCTCGTCTAACGTCCATACGAATATGTTAAATCAAATCGAACAAGTATGAATTGAAAGTTTCGAATTTTTGATCACTACCTCTTATCTACAAACTTTTTTTCTAACATTCTATCACCGTGTTATTTATTTCAAAATTGTTAATCATTAAAATAAAAACTGAATAAACTTTAAAAAAAAAACTGAATTTCAAACGATTAAATTCTTCCATCTCTTTCACTTACTTCATCATCGAGCATATAGGCTGGCTTGTATTGTTCTACTCCATTTTCTGTTTGGTACTTCAATTTAATGTTCTTGACTGTTACATCTTTATTACCCAATGATGTAAAACCTTCATCGTATATTGAACAATAACTGATTTGAAAAAGTCTCAAAAATGTCCATACATCCTTGTATGTATAATGTAATATTGGATTACATCTCATATAGGATGGCCAATCGGAATCTGTTGGTGAAAAATCGTTTAGTGTGGATGAATTGGGATCAGTTTTTCTTGAACCCATAATAACACATTGAATTTGTGGATCAATTACTTTTAGTTTAGAAAGAGCTTCTCTAAACCGTCCGTCAATTGTGATGAGATCAATATTATACTTTTGAACACAATCATGAATAAATGAGTCCATAACTTCAAATTGTTGATGATTTCGAATGAATAAAGCACGAAGTTTGGGTGGAGAAGAAGATGATGAGTATCGGCGTTTTAAAACATATGAGTATAAATTTAATACAAGTGTGCAATCTTTGCCACCATTAAAACCAACTGTAATTTGAGATGGATCATAACGATGTAAACATTCGTTAAGTACATTGAGTGAATGAAGAAGTTTTGTAGAAAAATCAGTCTTGTGCTTTTCAATATAGTCTTCATAAAGATCTGAGCAAGTTATGTTATTTGATTCGATTGTCATGGTGAATAGAGAAAGAAGAAACAAAAACAAACAAGAGCAACCTAAATAAAAAAGAAACATCAGGACAAAAAACTTATTTTTGTTAGATAAACATAGGATGTGGCCTTTCCTTAACTTATGTCAAATAAAATACCATGAAAACAATATGATTAGAAGGAAGCTTTCAGAAACACATGATCGACTAAAGCCAAGTATCGGTGTAAAGAACTAGTGTTTATGGAAGAGATATGTTATTAGTATTGGTGTTCTATATGTCTATATGTTATTAGTATAATTGTTCTAGTATTGGTGTAACGATGATACTTTTCGATTCGAAAATTACCATCAAAACATTAAATTGTATTCCTTAACTACAAAATATTTGAATTTAGAAAGGAAGATTGAGCTGTTCACTTCAACAAACTATAAAAGATACAATCTACCAAGTAGTTTCTTTCGCTAACCGTCTACAACAAAGTTGGTACGAATAGTTAGTTACTCAGAATAGGAACCTACCTACCACATCACAAGATCTAAATCTATGCTGTTGATTAAAACGATAGCACAAAACCCTGTTTTCCCAAAACTTCTTTCATTTGTATTGTGTTTTGCGTCAAATTACTTTAGAAACTTATATTTTCTCTTTGACAGAATATGATAAAGACAGGAAATGAAGAAAGAAAAAAAAAGAGGTAACGAACATGTTTTTAGATTTGAGAAGAATATAACAAGATAAAAAAACATACAAAAACTTTGCTGTTGTTACTGTAGCTGTTGTATTACGGCGGTACAAACACGAAAACAAGCAAATCCTAACACTGAGACGTTAACAATATCAACAATAATACATTAAGAAAAACATTTTCGTTTTTTTGGACAATAATAACAACAAATACAGAAAATATGGAATGGTGTTTAGTACAAACTGAAAGAGAAGAGAGGAAATGAAATAATAAGTATGTGAGAGAGAAAAATAGTTAAAAACTACTTTGTCCTCGCGTGTAAGAACATAATCACTGAAAGAAACAGAAAAATAAAAACAAGAATGCTGTAGTGCGCCGAATCCTTAGCCGGGTAAAGGAATCGGGATGGAATTTTTTTAATTAAATTGACAAAAATAAAAATGGTGGAACATTTTTTCTCAATGGGCCAGCCCTCCTGTTTGAAAACGAAGCACATACACAACAGGAAAAAAAGAGACAAAACTTAAATACGATTATATTTTTCTTAAAAAAAACAGATAATTTTTTGATCTCGGAACAAACACAAACAGAAAAACATGATCACCGAGTTCTAAAACGACAAAGAAGAGAGAAGATAACACTAGTTGTGCATTGAGTTCAATAGATTTTTCTAAATTTTAGAGTCAGTTTCGAATTACGACGCGTTGTTGTCAATTACTCATAGAATATTCTTCTAAGCAACCCCCACTATTTTTTACAAAATTTGGTTAGAAGTGGACGGATAATCGGTTTTTAAAAAGACTACTCATATCTCACTAATAACGTGCTGAATACTGAAGTACTTCTCTACTAAATACAGACACATAAGATTTGTGTATACTGAAATCTGTCATTTCCAGGATTAATCTGCATTAGTTTTATGGGGCACAAATACGATTTGGATAAAGATTTTTTTGAAATGAAATGGCAAAAATGGATATGTCACGATGCATTAAAGGGTTGCATTTTAAAATAAAAGAACTGTGTGCATAGTCAGAAACCGAACAAACCAATGAAAGAAAAAAGAAACACATGAACACATATATACGCTCATTTCAAAAATGAGAAAAACAAGAAAACAGATAGATTTTTTTTGTTCAAGAAAATCTAATTTCTACTGGTGCCAGCCCAGTTGGTCGAAGTTTTAAAAGCTTTTGATTTATATTAATATTCAGGAGTCTTTTGCTGTATAAGTAAATAAATTATGTGCGGTGGCTATTGCTATTATATTGTCAACGGGATGATAAGCACAATGTAAAATTTTTTTTGAAAATTCTAAGCTATCCGGATTAATTTCATCTTTTTTATTACGTCTTGCATTCAATAAAACTTTTTTTGGTTTTAATAATTGTTTTGGACGTATTGCTTGTTCACGAGATGATTCATATAAAACGTCTCGACGTGTTTGACGCGATATTACTTTGAACAAATTATGATACGAACCAGTTAATATGTGACTAAAACATAGGGAAAAAACAATATTATTTTAGTTGAAATCTACAAATTTGCTTTAAACATAAGTCTCAGATTTTGTTAAAGTGTACTTCATCCGCGCGTAATAGAAAAGATGGGTATATTGCTGGTCCCGTGATGAATTGCATAGGATGAAATAATATTTTTAATACAGAAAATTTAAGGTGTATCCCAACGAAGAATTAATCAGAATTTGAACTGTGTCGTGAAAATTAGTTTAATAGCCAAAAGTTCATACTTACTCATCCTTAGAACTCCAAGAGCACTCGAATTTATCAAATATACAGTCGTTTTCATACAGCACACACAGTTTTGTTCTTAAATATTCATGTATTGGATATGTTTCCACTGGTTTAGAATCCATTTGTAGATCCCAAACTTTTAGATTTAAAAAATCTCTTGTCAAAATATAACGACCTGTATGACTAAATTTAATATCACTAATACTTGATATAATTTCAGAAAAAAAACTACGTGTGGCTGGATCTTCTGGTTCTTCATACACTAAAAAAAAGACACTTTCGTTGTCTATTATAACAATTAATATTGAAAATAAAAATACAAACCTTTACAGTGTCGATCGCACAATGCTGACTGTCTCATATCGCATAATCGTACTATACCGCGTGAACTACTATATAAAAATAAATTACAATCTTTTGGATGAAATTCAGCGCCCGTTATCACTTCTGTTAAATCTTCCATATTGGGTGGTTTAATATCAACAATATCTGGAGTTAAATATTTGAGTAAAGTAAAAATAGTTAAAAAGTAGATTTATTGTTATTAGCTCGATCTAGGAAAATTGATGCCATCCAATGCGTTGATCTAGTGAGTAGCATTGCAGGTCGCTAGGTAGATGAAAAATGGTCACAACAAGCCTGACAGATTAACTAGGCAGTCTAACAATGCATTTATCAACTAAAGTAAAAAAATATTAAAAAAAGGATACTGAAACTTTGATCTGTAACTTCTGTATGCCATAGATTAATCCTTAAATCATCAGCTGATAAAAATGTTTCTTGATCGCTATTTAACGATATTGAATTAATGTGATACGTGTGTGCATTTGAAAACACACGTTTTGGTGTTGCTTCGACCATCAATTCCATTGGTCGAATAACTGGTATACGTAAATTTGTTATTGTACTTGCTGGACGTATAATACCATTATCATCACGTAAATTATAACCTTCAGCACGTTTTGTTTTCTCAGAAATTTTCCACAATTTAACGGTCTTATCTGAAAAGTAAGACAAAGTCAATCAACATTTCGAAGAAATATAAACAACTTACCATTGGTTGACAAAAGAAAATGTGCTGCATTTTTGCGTTTTAACCAACGTATCTGATTAATTTTTTCTTCAATTTCTAAACTTTTCAAATAATCAAATTCAGGCTCGTGACTGTGAAATGTTATATAAACATTGTATTCGTTTCGCTTCAGCGATGTTTTGCTCTAAAGAAAATAACATATAAAAGTCAAGGTAAAAACTGTAAAAAGCCTTCTTTAGTACTTGTTGTTCACGTTGAAACACAACAATTCGTCCGCCTTTATCTCCCACGCCTAATAATGAACCATCTTCATTAAATTCTATTGTAGATATTAAATCAGCTAAACAAGAAAAGATCGATCGTCATATGTTTATGAAACTAATAGGGAAACAATATACCATCTTGTACTTCATCGTCGACAGGACCTTTGACTTGGCTTGGCGACCATTCGAAGCATTCATCTTCTACTTAAAAAGCAAAAGAAGATTAACTCAAGTCTCCGTAAAGAGAACAAGAATGATAGTTCATTATACCTTGATTCATTTCCATATCTACTGGGGACGCCAGATTTATATAATTTTGAGGAAAATACTTCTAATTAGCAGTTGCTTCTTTATAATTTATTATAAGTAAAAAACTATTTTAATAACGTCATCTATAGATAAGAAATAATCGATCCTACTCGTCTCTCTACGCAAATAACGCTTACAAATACAATAAAAAATCTTTTCCGAATCGCAAAGATGGTAAAGTGCTAAATAAAGAACCTCTATCGCCTTAAAAGACTAGGCTCACAAATACAAAAACAACAAACACGTTTATAAGAAATAAATACAAATAAATCAAAATATATCTTTGCATTGGAAGGTAGCTCGTTACTCTAATTGGTTCAAATCAATTTCGGTTACACCAGCCAATGATTATCATATTTAATGAAAGCAGAAATGCACTGACGTAAAACGCAAAAAATTGAGAAGTAGCATTCTCAAAATCTTTCAGGATGGCTGAAACTGATACTAAGGTTGATAAAAACGTAAATATGAACACCTCCCCCAGACAAAAAGAGGTTCAGATAGGATAATTTGTTGGATTTGCAAAAGACGGAATGGATCAATATGGCGGATAAGGAACGATTTCTCCAAAAAGATTGTTTGAAAGAGCCTCAAACAAACATCTGATCATGCCTTAGACGAAGTCTCACGTTAATGAAGAGTGCAGCGTAAAGCCGAGTATTTCTATCGACTGATCACATTCACATCCATCCTTACCTAACGTACATAGTGTGATTATAATGTAGAAGTACGCAAAATCGTGAAAACTCTCTTGTCATATTAGATTAGTCTAGTGCCTTTTTGTGCCCACTTATTTTTACCCACTTTTGTATTAATAAATAAATGTATATTTTTTAGATATATTCTGCCTCAGAAAAATGCGTTACGCAGCGGCCTACGTATTAGCAATTTTAGCTGGAAACACAACTCCTGATGTTAAATCAATATCAAAAATATTAGGAAGTGTTGGTATCGATTGTGATGAAACAAAAGCTAAAAAAGTGATTGATGCATGTAAAGGAAAAGATGTAAATCAGTTAATTGAAGAAGGTACAAAGAAATTATCAACTATGCCAAGTGGAGGTGGTGCAGCACCAGCTGCAGCTGCAGCAACAACCGCACCAAGTGCCGGCGCCGACAAGAAGAAAGAAGCGGAAAAAGCAGCACCTAAGAAAGAAGAAAAGAAAGAAGAATCGGATGATGACGACATTGGTGGTTTTGGTTTATTTGATTAAGTAGACTACAGTTTTTGTTTTGAATTGCATTTGTTGGTTATAGTGTTGTTATTTCTTATCTGTTTTTTTTACTTGGGTAAGAATAGATTGTCATGCACCAAAAACTTTGTATGTCTTCATTAAACAAATGTTTACGTTTATAATTCAAGTAAACATCCCGAACGAAAAAGTTGTTTTATTAGCTTGTTTTCAGAAATATTTGGACGGCTTGTGTTTCTTCTCTCGAAGGGGTTTAACCAAATATCTGATTATTCCACTTTTGATGAATAATTGACGAATCTAGAAATTTGCGAATATTCAGTGATGATTTTCTAAAGCTTTATAGGTATAATTTAGCAGTCTACAGTGTTTAGAACAAATATCGCATTGAGGAGTAAGAGAAAAGAGTTTCTTTGATTCAGTGGATCATCGAAAAAGACAATTAGATACTTTCTTTCTCTTTTCCCTTTGACATGGAACTAAAAAACAGCTGCTCATAACGTCAAAGCTAATGTATTTTAAAGCGAAAACAAAATACTGAAATTCTAGATCATTGTTATCTTTTCGCATTTTTTTGTTTCAGATTTACGCTTTAAATTGTTACGCATATTTTTTAATTTTCTGTCTTATTGAAAAAACAAAAAATGCGTTACGCAGCGGCCTACGTATTAGCAATTTTAGCTGGAAACACAACTCCTGATGTTAAATCAATATCAAAAATATTAGGAAGTGTTGGTATCGATTGTGATGAAACAAAAGCTAAAAAAGTGATTGATGCATGTAAAGGAAAAGATGTAAATCAGTTAATTGAAGAAGGTACAAAGAAATTATCAACTATGCCAAGTGGAGGTGGTGCAGCACCAGCTGNGAGGTGGTGCAGCACCAGCTGCAGCTGCAGCAACAACCGCACCAAGTGCCGGCGCCGACAAGAAGAAAGAAGCGGAAAAAGCAGCACCTAAGAAAGAAGAAAAGAAAGAAGAATCGGATGATGACGATATTGGTGGTAAGTTAGACAAATGTCTAGAAATGACATATGCTGCTATGCTATTATGTAACTCATTTCGTTTCGTTCTAGGTTTTGGTCTATTTGATTGATTATCCATCGACGTTTTCATAGTGACGGCCGAAAAAATTATGTTTTTCTTGTTTATTTTTCATTTTTGTAAGCTGTACATCAATGAGAAAAAAATAAAAACCTGTTAAACCATGATGATTCTCATGTACCAAGGTTAAGAAGTATCCGATAATTTTATCCATATTAAGAGAATTTAATCCATATCCTCATTTTCTCAATGAGGATGATCATAGGACTAAACAAGTTATGGGAAAGAAAAGTAGGATATGACTTCCATTGCTTGATTGAAGATACAACGAAGATAGATAATGAGATGAGAACGATGCATTATTAAATGAACAATATTTATTTTCATCAAAAGCAAATATTTAGTTTGTGAGTTCCAGTAGAAAATTTTTTAGAATCTGTAATACACTATGTATGCCTGCATATTCTGTTTCAATCACAGTTCTCTATGAGAAGGAAACTCACAATAACACAACCTCAAAGAATGAAGTTGTGCTGTTAAGGTCGCTTGTGATATCAGAACTGATTTATTCACTTTTACTTTTCAACGAGAGTGAGTTGATTTATATAAAAAGTTTTTAATACGACCTATTAAAGCTGTCATCATCATCATAGGAAGAGATAGTATGCTGTATTAAGATTCAGAGATAGATACGTCTGCTTTCTCTTTATCATCAAATATTTTTGAGAGTGTCGGACGACATCTACGATTCAAACACCTTATTGCTTCCTTCTACGTCAGCAATCCAATCATAGTCTGACCTGGTTGTTGAGTCGTGATAAGCTTCAATGACATCGTCCAAAATAGTAAATTAAAATATAATAACAAAATATAATAAAATGATGTAAATTTTTTTTTTGAAAGACCCAGAAAGTTATTCGTATCATACAGAAGAAAAGGTTTTATTATTGTTCGTGTTAATTTGTCTATTCGAATTTATTTTTACAAACACTAATGTGAATTAGAGTTACTATCATTAGTTTATTCAAAAGAATGACAAGTTTTTCCGATCCCCTTATTATCCCCGAACCCTTATTTTTACACTCAAGGTTAACATATATTAATATTTATTTCACAACTTCATTGTATTTTATCTTGATTGTCTATATATAGTTTATTTCAGCACCATCGTTATTACAGGTCGGTGACCTTTGATGACTCTCACTTTTCGTGAATAAAACAGTCTAAGACAGTCTTAGTCTTAGCAAAAATAGACATAACGATAAAACAGCAAATAATGGAAGTGGAAAACAATATGAGTTTCATATGTCGGATTGTCAATATCTATAAATACCGATTAGAATATTCAATCATTGTTTTAAAGTATCATTTTGCTAATCACATTCAAAACTGAACAAGCAGTAAGAAATGAAGAATCATACTTTAAGCAACTCGTGAAGAGTTTAGCGTATTGATGTTATGGATGTTGTTCTAAAAAAAAGATTTTGTTCCTCGTGTACTTATAAATATTTCGTCAGGCTGTTTTCTGTTTTAGATGTTGATGCCTTATATGTATTTATCTATTCTACCTTATTCAGTTTTCTTTGGAACAGTTTTTAATTAAATATGCTTGTGTATAACGAACGATTACTATTCTGATAAACAGAGTGAGTTAAACGTTTTTGATTATAATATATATTTATAGTAACTTGAAGAGTAAGACAGGTATAAGCTAACTGAATCCTTGGTAGACGTTTAGAGAAGCACAGATACAACAATATGAAGAAATCTCTTGCATTATCCTTCGCTATCTATGTATCAAAGGGAAGCTTTTAGACATAATGTTAGAAAAGTAGAAAGTACAGAGTTTTCTGGGGTTTAAAATATTTTCTTGTTATATTGTAGATGGATGTTAACGATATAGACGAAGAAACCGAAGAAAAGGAAAAAACACGAACAGATGATGATGATGATGATGATGGTGAAACTCCTATTGTATTAGAAAAATGGAATTGTTCATTTTGTACCTATGCCAATTTTGCATCGTCTAAGCTATGTACAATGTGTCGTGTAGAACGTCGTCTAGATGAAAATGAATTGACTATTTCATCCGATATTTACCAGTTGAACTCATCCGAGCAACCTATTACATCATACATTGATTCTGTGGAAAAATGGCCATGCCAAATTTGTACATATTTAAATTATCCAAAATCGATGAAATGTATACAATGTCGTTCAACACGTGTTACTTCAACTATAACACCAGCACAAGTACAACGTTCATTATCTACAAATGATAATGATCGAATATCGCCACCTCAAACTCCTGCAACATCGTCATCATCATCAACAACAAATCTACTATCGGACTCAAAAATAATTGCACAACGGCTAAGAAAATGGATGTGTAAAAAGTGTACATACGAAAGTAAGTTTTTTCTCGTACATTGTTGACTAGCTATTGTTTTTCATATCATCGATTAGAGAGAGAAGATTTAACATACCACTTTCATACTCACCTCTTCGTTTTATGTTTAGATTATCCGTCATCAAAAAAATGTGTTATGTGTTTACATTTGCGTGCAAACAATCTATCGTCATGCACTTCATCGTCTTCATCATCCACTTGTGGACATACAACTGACGAAGAACAACGTATGAACGCTATTAATAAATCAATGGAAAACATAGCGGTTGATCGAAAAGAAAAACGTGAAAAACGTACAATACAACATTCACAACCACAGCAAATAATGAAAAAAACCTCATCGATCTCAGCCACTTTACCTGTTGAGCGTTTATGGTTAAAAGCATGTGAAACCCTATTGGATGGTGGTCCATTACACGTTGTTGCAGAATATTTAGCATACGGATGTGATCCATTGAGACAATTAACTATGGATGATATCAAATTATTAAATATGAAAAATATTAGTTACATTGATTGTGTTGGTAAAACATTGAAACAATTAGCTTTTTTAACAGGACAATTAGAACAGTATCAAACATTAGAAAATGTTGTCTTGCAATTTAAACAACAGCAACAGCAACTCATCAGACAAACAATGAAAAAGCAACAACAACAACAACATCAAAGAACAAGACACGTGCCGGCAAATATTTGTCCAACACTAATTGAATTAACACAATGGCAATTTCGTACATTTTTAAGATTGAAAAAAACAACTGAATTTCAGTGCTATTATTTAACAGAATGTTTTACATTCACATTACCAGCTGGTAAGTTTTATCACACAATGGAAAAAATAAAAAGCCATAATAATGAATGTTTGAATAATTTTGCTCTTATTATGCGTTTCTAATGCATGCTTTTGTAAATGTTTCAGAGATTGGAGATTTTCATCATCGTATACAAGATCAAGTCTTTGAAGATTTATTAGATAAAAATGTTCAACAAGGTTACTATTTATAACTCATAGAATTTTTCTTTTTTAATTTACGATCATTTTTCTTTTATAGAACTTGAAGTTGACAATAGTATAATTAATTGGAATACAGATATAGCTAATCGTCTTCATTCTCGTTTATACGCATTATGGAATCGCAATAATGGTACGTAGATTTGCAACGTGGATGGAATGTTTGATTTATTATTTGCTTTTTCTTATTTTAGGTGATTGTTTACTAGACAGTGTATTACAAGTATGCTTAGGTGTATTTGATACTGAAAACAGTTTAAGGCGAGCAATGGCCGAAAGTCTTCAAAATGGTTCAGCAAAGTATGTAATATAGTACAGATCTATTTCAATTGATTTTTATGATTCTGTATCTTATAAACAGATTTTTTGAACTTTGGCGTGAGTACGAACAAATGGTGGCAGAAAAACATCATTATCGTCCAGATGACTGTCAGTTGAGAAGTGAATGGAATCTCGTATTATCGTTAGCAAATCAACCGGGTGAATCGTTGGAACATGCTCATATTTTTGCGCTCTCACATGTTCTACGTCGTCCAGTAATTGTTTACGGTGTTACTTATGTGAAATCATATCGTGGAGAATATAATATTGGTTTGGCAAGATTTCAAGGTAAAATAAAACATTTGTTTGAGTAAAAGTTTTTTTGTGTAAATGTAAATCAATGTTTTTCTTGTTTTAGGAGTTTATCTTCCATTGTTATGGGAACCAAATTTTTGTTTTAAATCGCCAATATGTCTTGGTTATACACGCAACCATTTTTCAGCTTTAGTACCGATGCAAGAACATGTAAACAGAAGTTCAATACAAGCAGCAGCTACTATTCAACTACATTCTCCTTCAATATTAACGCTCATGTCAACATACACCGATAACAACTCTTTCTCATCACCAACAATGCCCACATCATCAAATTCATCGCCATCCTCTTCTCCGCCACCATCTCTATCTATAAATCGTCATTCGTTGAATACAAATGAGAACAGTGATACACAAACATTTTATCATCCATTGATGGATAGTGATGGAAATTTACTACCAGTTCATTTTATATCACCATCAGAGGTAAGTGAATATTTTAACCATATTATTATATTCTATTCGTCTTCTCTTCTCAGATTGGCCATGAACAAACAATTTTGAAACAGTGGTTGGATTGTTGTTGGATTGGACAAACATTGGTTGCACAACAGAAAGTTGGTATGTTAAACAGTATTTTTAGTAATTTCTAAAATTGTTATTTAAACGTAAAATGGAGCTCATTTAGGTAAACGGCCGTCTCTCATTCAAAATTTACTCGATCAATGGTTAAATCTTTATCGTCAACAACAACCATATTCAAATAACCAAATACGAAAAACGTCAGCTGACTCAAGATAATTGTTCTGTAGAATAAAATTATTTTATTTTATTACTATATATTGCGTCCAGATTATCCTTTCGTTTTTTTTTTTTGTTTTTTCTTATTACACATTCAGCAGGTGCTACGAACCCGTTCAAGTTCTTCTGTTCATTCCAATCTCGATCGAGTTTATACTTTTCTATCTATTGCTTGTTTTTGTGATGATGTCGACGACGACGTTGAAGTGAGAGTTGATACCTCCCCTAAGTTTTTCATATATGTGTGTGTGTGTTCTTTTTCTGATATAACAGTATAGAACTTTAGATTATGTACATGCCTATACTTGCACTTTTGTTTGTGCAATTTTTTCTTTTTTTTATTGTCTATTTATCACACATCGGCTTGTCCAGACGTACCAGCCAAAAAACGTAAGTCCGTAACGTTTTGTGAAAGTCATAGCTCTTCAACCGAGAAATATACAGAGCTGGCAAACGTCTTATTTTATAGTTTCGAGATTTTTCTCTCAAATGGTAATTAAGCAAAGTCTAGCTCTATCCTACATACCTGCCTATAACTTGTGCCAACAAGATCCTTTTATACGAAAGTGGTGTATATAAAAACTATTATGTCGCTTAAACTAGTCAGCTGCTAAACTTCACTTAACTACCATCTGAAAGAAAAATCTTTAAACTTTAAAACTAGACGTTCCTCAGGTTTGTATGTTTCTCGGCTGAAGGACTATGACGTTCACAAAACGTTACAGACTTACATAAAAGTTGACTTTTGCGTGGACAAGTTCACAAACGCGTGCAGACAGAAAAAATGCAGTCTTTTTTTGTTTAAAAAAAATAGAATAAAATTTTTTTACATAATGCACAAAAAACCTATTTATGTAGCTTAGATTGAAAATATTATATAAAAATCTCGTTTGCAAAAGATCAACTATTCAAACCTGAAGTTATTGTGAGATTTTATCAGAAGAATTTTTTGATGTAGATGGATAGTTTCATTGACTATGTCGGAACATTGGAGAAATTTCGAAGAGAAAAGGTTAAAAGATCAATTGCTCACTAGACTTGAGATGATCTTCCATGAGAAAGAACAACAAATGAGCGAACATATCCATCGGTCAACTAAAATTTTATTACAGTATTAACAAAACAATACATATAACAAAAAAATAATATACAGAAAGCAGAATTAGTGAGAGAGATTAGATTATTATTTATAGTTCATACTGAAATGTATCGTGTGATTGAATTTTAACTATGTCATCAACTTCTGGTGGTAATGGAGCACCTTGTAATAACCATCGTCGAATAATATCTAGTTCATAACTTGTAAATATATGACTCATTGCACCACCATCACTAACCAATACCATCAATTTACATGTATGCAAATTTTCTTCTTTCAAAGGTAGACCATTTTCTGGATGACAATAATCACTTGCTCTCAACGCAGCCATAAGTTGATCAGGTTTTGATAACAATTCGTGTATAGTTTTCTCATTACCATCGGGCAATTTTAATTTGATATTAATATGCGCATTTTGAGCATGACGACGTTTTTTCAATATTAGAGAATACATATCATTCACCGCTGATGGTTCTAGAGATAGTATCCATCGTGAAATTATTGTTAATTCATCAGTATCAAATACTTGATACATCGGTCCATGAAATGAAACAGCATGATTTAACAAGAAACTTGACTTCGGATCTCCTTTAACGATCATATTACTATTTTCTAATTTTTCACATAATATTTTCGGATCACCCATAAATAATTCATTTAAATAACAACCATCAATTTTTCGTTTGCCGTGCATTTTTTGAGCCTGCAAATAAAGTTTAGATAATGGCAAGAAGAGGTTGGATCAACAACTATACCATGGGTGCTTTTTTCTTTATTAAATTTATAAATTCGTCTCTAGGTGTTGTGCGCTTTTGTATATCGAATAATTTTCTTAATTCATCATCAATATTACCTACAATTAAAAAGAATACAGAAAAATGCTCAGATATCAAAAGATCGATGCAGTCAGTTTCTTGTAACAGAGTCGACAGTCCCAATAGTTTGGTCATTTATTATGGATGAGTCTAGAAATGCTGTTATTTTCCAACTTACCAATCATTCCATATGCTGTGTAGCCAGTCCAGATTCTTTTCCACTGTATCTGTACTTCATTATCACCATATTTTGTTCCGATTTCTTCCAAATATAAATAAATGGCTTCAATAGCGTATCGTCCATGACCATTGGCGTTATTGTCGATTGCTGTATGAAGAAGCGAAAATTTTGGACTTAATCCGTGTCGTTCTAATAATTTTCGTAATGGTGAATGTTCAGTGGCCGATGTTGTTTCTAACCACAACGTGTACCCAAGAATTTCTGGATAAAAAGCTTTTGGAAAAAGTGATGTTGTCAATGTTAACAAAGGCTTTTTGAACGATATGTCCATTATCGATTTCTGGTCAACAAATTCTCTCGTATGTATATCAGGTACACTTAAACCCAGTGCGGATAAAACTAAAAAAGAATAGAAAAAGAATGAAAATAAGTCAGCAAAAGTCTAAAGCGAATTTACTGACCATTCAAATAAACATTGCAATGATTTTGTTCAACATCGCCTGAAATAGAAATACTGTTAAATTTTTCGAACCAAAAACGTTTTGCGATGTGCGCTAACCGTTTCCGAGCTCATCGATATAAATCGCAAATAATTTCGCATCAATCAATGTACACGGACCAGTTGGAGCATTCCCACGTAACCATACACCATCGGTTAAATGAAATGGTTCACGTTGCATGAGCCAAGTGGCAAGATGTAATTTTGTTTGTGCCCACCAATACTGTGAATTAGAGTCAACTGGCATGCCTGCTTCTAACCAATCTAAATAGCGTCCTTTCCACAAACGATTAAATATATATTCTAGGCGTTTATCAACAGCTTCTCGTTCATATGGGATGTACGTAAAATGATCGGGAAAATCCGGATCATCATCATGATCTCTCATCATATATACCGCTAGAGAAACAATGAAAAACGTTCAACATTCAGCCTGAGATGATGATTTTTAGGAGTACCTGCTTCGGCATGCATTCGTTCTGAAAACTCTTTGGCAAGATCATATTTGTCGAAATGATCTTCGGGATTAATGAAAAAATGAAATAAATCACGATAGGAATAATCATCAAGTTTTTTTCTCGTTGTCGTATTATCTGAGGATGATTCGAGTTTATCGATTTTTTTCTTTTTATCACGTCGATAATAAGTTGTGGTCAATATAGCAAGACAAATGCATGTTGTAATTTCTAAGATTCTGGAGCGTGTTAAGAAGGTGGTTAATGGTAATAAATCCAGACTCATTGAAATAACATATGTAAATGGAAGATAATAGGCTCTTTTTTACTACTGATCATTAGAGCAGACATACTGTATTTATATTCACTCTAAAATCTATACATTTATCGTAACATATTACACGTAACTTTAGAATAAACTCGATTAGATAAGAATAAGAATATGACATATATTTTTGAAACTTTTTACGTGGGAAGGGGCATTCGGTGCTTGGTCGTTAAAGTTCTTTCTTTTACACAACTGCTGAAGCACATGGGAAGCACGTGGAGACGATTAGTCGTCCACACGTGCTTCAGCAATAAACGATAAAACTCTATCAGTACAGTCGCGACTGTACTGATAGACTTTTATCCTACATAGAGATGTATGGTTCTTGGTGAAGAACCAGAACTGTGCTTCGATTCCGCATGAGGAACCGAAGCCGCGGTTTCTCCGACGGTTCTTTTTTTCGGAACCGAGACTTTTTGACTTGCCGTTCTTTTAACAAGATGAAAGCACACTATTGACAAAGCTACAAAAAGACATATTTGTCTGTCATAGGTGAAAGAATCCTTTCGTTTACTATAAAATGAAATCTATTTCGTTGAATTGCTACTGCTTAAAAAATTATTTCCCGGTTCTATGCTGAGAACCGAGAACCGCGGTTCTGTTCTAAGTTCGAAACCAGAATCGCGGTTTCTTTCGTTTCGGTTCTAAGTCGAGACCCGAATATCCCTAATCGTACACGGTAAATTTGTTATCTCGCACGCGAAAAGATGCGTTTACATTCGGATAATAAGAACGTGCGCATTGCAGAGAGACCAAAAAGTTGTGTCGAACGAAAGGGAGGAGAATGAAAGGGATAAGATTCTTTCACGTATGACAGACAAATATGTCTTTTTGTAGCTTTGTCAATAGTGTGCTTTCATCTTGTTAAAAGAAAGGCAAGTCAAAAAGTCTCGACTCCGAAAAAAAGAACTGTCGAAGAAACCGCGGCTTCGGTTCCTCATGCGGAATCGAAGCACAGTTCTGGTTCTTCACCAAGAACCATACATCTCTATGTAGGATAAAAGTCTATCAGTACAGTCGCGACTGTACTGATAGAGTTTTATCGTTTATTGCTGAAGCACGTGTGGACGACTAATCGTCTCCACGTGCTTCCCATGTGCTTCAGCAGTTGTGTAAAAGAAAGAACTTTAACGACCAAGCACCGAATGCCCCTTCCCACGTAAAAAGTTTCAAAAATATATGTCATATTCTTATTCTTATCTAATCGAGTTTATTCTAAAGTTACGTAATATACTATATTGACCACAACTTATTATCGATGTGATAAAAAGAAAAAAATCGATAAACTCGAATCATCCTCAGATAATATGACAACGAGAAAAAACTTGATGATTATTCCTATCGTGATTTATTTCATTTTTTCATTAATCCCGAAGATCATTTCGACAAATAAATGCCGATATTTAAGTCGACAAATAGAACACGAGTGAATGCTCTACTTCCACGTAAAATCGAATGTACAGTTATTATCATGAATGCAGTTCAACCATCTCTGGCCATTAGAAGGAGCTTCAAGCTGCTCGTTACATCATAAAAAACCAAAGTCATAACAAAAGTGGGCACTTATGTACATCTCTTTTTTTCTCTGTGCTCAGCAAACAAATTTGATTCTAGGCTTTTTAATTCGACGTTGGATAAAGGATGCTTTTCCAGAATTATCTTTGTTTCGTTTTACGACAAATTGATGTACCGAATTACTTTTACTTGTTGTTTCAACTAACGGTAATTTCGTCAAAAACTTCAGTTGTTGAATTTTGGACTGACGATCTATTTATCATTGAAATTGATGATAAAAACAATGTCAAGCCACTTTAATCAAGAGTAAATAAGAAATTTAAACAAAAAAAACATGAAAACGCTCTTGGTTTTGAAAGCTAAACATATATAAACTATCCGTCTATTCTGTGGTTCTAAGTGGATCCAGCTTCCACCAGGATTTTAGCAAACAACGGTACACTAGTGGTACATTATAACGATCTATCTGGTATGAACGTGCAATAAATCAACAGTTCACTTGTTTTGCCTGTATAGTTGCGATGTATAGAAGGTTTATTTCTCAACATAGGCACTTGATATCCTTTTGGCCTTTACTTAACCCTTTTCAGCCTGATGTTGTCATTTGGTAACATTTTCTGCTTCGTTTCACAAATAGTCGGCTAGGATGGCTTTAGAGCTATTGCGCGGAAAGAGCGACCAATCGTACGGATTTATAACTTCGATCTGAAAAGATCTTAGGTAAAGTTAAAGATAAAATGGTGAAATTTTTGGAACTTTGATTTTTATGTTCGAAAGTGTTTGTTATACAAGTCAACATAGTCACGCCTATGCTGCGCCACTTAGACTCTTTACTGCTAACATGCATTTCTGATCACGAGCCTAGTTGAATTAACGCGAACGGTCAAAAATCCGGTTCACAAACCGCCAGGAATAAAATGCAATTTTTTGCATATCAACGTACAGAGGAAAAATGTTATATACATGATGTATAGGCGAAAAGTGCATCGACTAATGTGTTTTAAAAGGTTCTCGAAAACATCTTTCTACGAGAAATTAGGAGTGAGGTACCTCAAAGGTATAAGTATTTGATAAACTCTTTATTCATCGTAGATTTGTCGGTCAAGTTTGATCGAAACTGTTAGGTAGTGGAATATCCAACCATTAAAGGTTATTCACTGATCACATACTCTATTTGGTCGTGCTTGGTTTGTACACGTAGTCAGTTCCACGTCAGTCATATACATATATTCCTTTGTTTCTCTTGATCCATTCTAAATGTGCGTGTAGTAAGAATGTAAACTTGTTTTCTATCCCATTTTATAAAATAGAATCATCGACACATGGCTGGGCGAGTCCGAGTCGACTCGAGTCTTTTGTTTAAATTTGTTTAAAGACTCTGACTTGACTCTGACTCGAAAATTGGGTGACGTTGACTCGACTGTTTGACTCGAGTTATTTATTCAAAAAAATTTTCTAAAGAATAGTAGAGTTGACATCGATTTAAACATTCAATGTTTAAATCGGTGTCTATAACTCTACTATTCTTTAAAAAATATATTCACCGTATTATCAAAATACAAAAAAACATTTCATTTACTTTTATAAAAAAATTACAATTTATAAGATTAAATTTTCACTTATTTATAACTTTTGTCCCAGTTGAATATATTGCATCAGGATACTGGAAATCCTAACAAGTTACAAAGGATTATCAAGAAAATAGGCTTTACGTACAGAAAAAAAAGACTATCTAGACGGTTTGATTGGTTTAATTAAAATTGATCCAAATTCGGGTCGCCTAATTATGTGTGTCTGGAATGTGAAAGATTTAACTCTAACGGTTATACCTCCATGTAAGTTTGGACTAACCTAGATCTTAACCTTGGACCAAAACATTTTCTAGCCAGATAAACTTTGATAACCAGACAGCAAACTAGAAGGATAATGGATGACTTTGTTGCAACAAGAAACTCTAGATAGGTGTTACAGAGGAATAGGAACAACTCTATATCGATATCTCATTTAGAATCGCGTCGTATTCATTACTCACCCATATGATCGCTCATGTGTGCCATCTGGCTGTGGGCGTTTTAATCTATTGTGTGGATGATGTATACCTTAATCAACCAGACGTTCGTGAGCTGAAACAAAGAAAAAAAGAACCACAACCGTTTCCAAAGTTGAAAATAAAGGGACAAGTCCAGTCAACCGTCGATTTTAAATTCGAAGATTTTGAATTAGACTTTTGAGACCCTCATCTGTTTACTTATGTGTTTCTGTATTTGTGTTAGTTAAGATTTTTCAAGTCTTTTTTTAAAGAATCATATGGCCAAAATGACCTCGTGAGAAGGGTAAAAGTAAAGCTTTAAAGTATTTAAATTATATAAAAATCAGAATTGCCTATATAAAAAAAGGATTATCACAAGGTTTTGGTTAACCCCTGATGCAATTTATGCGAAAAGTAATTACAAGTTACGCCGTAATGGATGTGAAGAAAAACAAGGTCAAAGTTGTAGAATGCGATTTTTTTAGCGAACGAATATGGGACTCTATGTAACTTTTTATGCTCTACACTGTTAAAAATCTGTGTTCTTCAAAAAACAAAAAAAATGATCTTCATTTGTCCCCTATGGAGATCATATATGTGTTCTCCAAAGATTTATACAACGAGAATCTTCAGTTTTCTGAAGAACAACACTTTTGTTCTTCAGATTTTTTGTTCTCTATAGGGGACAAATTGTTCTCTGAAGAACTCACTTTTTAAGAACTACCAAAAAGTTGAAGAACATAATTTTCGTTCATTAGAGAACAATAATTTTTTTCTTCGCCTTGTTTTACATCTGCTTTACACAAATATCGGCTGAAGAACTCAAATCCTCATGATTCCATTTACTTTAAGAACGTCGCTGTCTGTTCATATATAGAACTACCGTCATAGAAGATTTCGATCAGTTTGTTGGTATAAAAGTTTATTAGTAAGTTGAAATGTAGTTACATTAATAAGCAGAAAAGGTGATGCACCAAATAAGAAA